TCAAAGCTATAGCCTTAGCCTTGCTACAGTTCTGCTGTCAGGCTTCCATTCAATGATTCTGTTAGCTAGTTTGTTTCCTACCAGAACAACAGTACTGGCCGAAGCACAAGTTGTGATGTGATGTTGATACCTGATTAGAGTTGCTTTTCCCCGCGGAAGTTCAGAATTTCAGGGCTTTAGCGCTTGATTGACGAAAGTCCAGCTACGGCGAGTTGATACCTTTGGGCATCATCAACTAGCTTCTGATCTCTCCCTCTCCGTGGCAACATATTCCAATTTTCGACCGTAAGCTCCCACTGCGATGCCGTTTCTGTGAAGCCTTATCGTATATGTTATAACTTCATAGTGCCCTCGTCAGAACGTCAGAATGGCTACTTCACTGACTGGAATCTTTGTCGTCTCTGCGATTTTCAGTACCTGCCGCCGTTGTGCTACGCATCAAGGTGTCAGAAGGAGAGAAACAAGTTCTGATCGCCGACTTTCATAGCCTGCCTTAATTCCCACCAGACAATGAGGTCACTGATAACTCAGGCGACAGCCGATCTGGTATGACGTTCGATGACGGCAATAGCATGAGGGGAAAGAGTTTAGACATTGTTAGTAAAGCAGAACAGTCACTATGTAGAGGGGTTAAAGTCGATGGGTACAAGGGAAAACCAGTTATATGCCACCTAACTGTCGCAACGAAAATGGGTTGTTAAAATCATATTTTCCATATTCACTTTACTTATGGGGAAAAGCGGATGCTGTAAAACTATTTAAAACAAAACAATAAAAGGTACATTTCATACGGCGCGGAATAGTCCCTCGAACCGGTGACAGACCACTGCCGACATTTCGGCTTGTATTTCACATACTTTCCTCAAAGAAAATTAGTTTCGAGTAGCCATAGGTATAAAAGTCTAAGTCTGAAGTCTAATCGAATCTGCTTATATTCGTCCTCTGGTCTTTTTCCACAAAACAAACTCATTTTCAAATAATGGTTACCTTTATCTTCAGTATTACATGATATGACAAGTCACATCTTCCTGAGACAAACGATGACATGACGTACAGGTTCATACAGCGTCATTAGACCTGGATTTCAAAATGTTGGTCGCTTAAGCTGCGAACAATGCCTTCTTCTTTTTCCTGATATTACGCATCATGCGTCACTGTTTCAGATTTTCCTTCCATCTTTCCACGGGGCCGTTGTGCTCTGCTCAAGAGGTAAGCTCCGCAGTGGAAAAGTTCTTCACGTATTTTCTTCATGCAACAATGAGGATGGATGTCTTCAATACGGTCGTTCAGTTTCATGTCAGGTCGCCCTGTTTTAATGCAGACTTGCCTTGAAAGCATAAGATACTATTTAAACAGCGGTTACGATACTCTCGTTAGTAAACAGTTTCGAGCTCATGCCAAACAAGAAGAACAGTCAAGGTTAGCAATCGTGTGCCAATGTGAAATAGGCTGAAGGAGAATTTTCTTAGTCGCGAAGACTTGTTAACAGCTGTAAAAGATCAGCAACTGAAATTCTTATGTATCATTGAAGTATCTCTATCTAGAAAAGAAGTTTCGACTGAATATCTGGCTCAAAGGATAAAAACCACTACTCCTGCTAATCTTCAAAAACAAAAATATAATTTTTCCACAACGCCATTTACTGTCTGACAAGATGGTTAACCTTATATGGAAGAGGCAGAAAGCACTCGATAAGAAATCAGGAAATTGATTGAACGAGGCACTCTTCGCATTACCGAAACGGTGAAAATCTTAGAAATTCACAATAACAACGCTGTACAAATTTACACTAAAAATAATGCTACGTGGTTGAAACAGCGAAAATCCACAGTGTGAATAAAGAAAAATCTTTTTCTCACTTTACACCAGAAGCAATGTTGCGCCGCCCCTTGCTTCTAGGCACCTATGGGAACCAGTTAAGCTGGCCAAAGCTTCACGATATTTAAGGCACTGCAGGCGCATAGATTTTTCTTTCGTTACACTGTGCATTTTTGCCGTTTCAATCCAGTATCATCATTTTTAATGTGATGTCTTCAGTGACGATATCAAAAGGTTCCTCAGAACATCGGGGTTATATTTTATGCAAGTTTAGGTGCCATGTTTTCGTCCATCTGAATTTTATCACTATCGTTCAATGCTCTACAAGAATTCGTGAGTTTTGATGAACCAGTAAATTAAGCCCTTTTAATAGTCATTCGGGTCTATCATATAGAAATAGTCTCAACCTCTACCTTTCGAGGAAAGCATTAATATTCCTTATCAAGCGAACAGTAATTCTTGTAATGCCATTTATATTGGAAACCATGCAGAGCTCCTAAAGTTAGGCTGTTGCAGCACTTCAATGCTGCCCTCGCAGTCATGGTGATGATTCTTTCTTTGTCAGCATAACTCGGATACTGATTATAGATTTAACATAGTCCACGTTTCTATGACAAAGACCGATTTGCATTAGTACTACGAAGCTATTTATCAGACAACGAATGGATTTAAATTATGATCTGATGATTCGAATGTATTAGACCCAGCGTTGTCGCAAGCTAAAATCTAATTTGCATGAACCGCGGGATAAATTTCCTGAAGATGCAGTACTGCTGACTGGAAGAAAGATTGGGTCCATCCACGTTCTCACAGAGATAAAAGAAATGATTAGTACTGACTGTTTATTACAATCGAATCGTAGAACTGAGCTTTAAATGTTGTTGGTGATTGTGAATGATGACCAGCATTAATGCAATACATGAACTATATTCTGGCAGTGATTTCCAACGTCACTGAATTCCAACTGTAAGCGAAGAAGTACTATGTGGAATATCGAATCATATTTACCTCATAATTAATATTTTTCACAATTGTTATGACCACCACTATGTTATAGGCAATGTCCTCGTTTCCTGCAAAATAGGAATTTACGCGCTGATCGGTATAATGCAACTTTTACATTTATCTATACATGCTTGAGAAATGTCCATTTGCTCGAAGTCGTTCCATTTTGAAGAGATTAACTTCATAAATTAGTTACAGGTAGAGCAATATGACCAAATGTTATTGTTAATCTTAGCCTCACTTGAAGCTTTATTCGCTTTTATCGCAATGCAGCAGGAAAAATTACCAACCAACAAATAATTCGTTTCGTATATAGCATACCGAATACAAACAAGCAAGGATAGATTGACGTACATAATTATGATTTCACATCGAATAAGCGCTAATGATTTCTTTGCAGTATACATATTTTTAGGGTGATTCCGGAGGACCGTTGCTTTGCCGTAAGGACGAACGCTGGTTTACGCAAGGTGTGGTTAGTTTCGGAAGTGGCTGCGCGCGAAAGAACAAGCCTGGCGTATACACGAGATTAGCGCGGTTTAGGCCGTGGATTTTAAAGACAATGGCTGATCTAGCCAAAATACCATGACAAATGCAGTGAGTTCAAACTCGTACTACATTAGACAGCGTGGTAGATCATGAATAACAGTTGCTGTTTTGTTTTACTCCAAAATGCTCGTGCTTGATTTCTTGTTATATATTGAATTATCGTTGACCATTAAGGATGTAATCATCACTCCTCGAATTAAATCTCATCTCGCAATTATCAATTTCTATTAATAATATTAATAACTTAAGACATAAACACGTGCATACAAAGACGGTTACGGCCGGAAGGCAGCAACAATGAAACGTTACCATGGTCCATGCAAACACGAAATTCAGAAGCGATACATTTGCCAACTTCATGTCATTCCGTGACATTCAAAATCTGGATATTCATATTCAGAAAATTCTGCAATATTAGGATTTCCAGATCATACGAACAGTAACACTATACTTCTGAAATTTGAACACCGCAGTGGAACATGTTTGCAGAACTTTAACTATACA